AAATTTATTTTGAGTGTCTTCATAGTTTTATTTTTGGAAATACACCAATTTTTATTTACTACAGGAAAAACGAAAATAAATATTATAATGCAAATTTGCAAAAAAACCGCATATGCATCAAAATAAACTATTTCCAGCAGTGCAATATGACTTCTAAGCATCCCAGAAACGACACAGAAAGTCATAAAGTCAAACATAACTTTTAAAACACCAGTATAGGCTGATGGGGCCCTGAAGGTGAAAAACTACATTTCCGAGAAAATGACGTCACTTCCGGTTTCGGGCAGGTAATGGCGGACGTGCGATAGTTTGCGCTGATGATCTATTCTAACATAGGAAGTGTTACGAACAGCTGATCGGATCGGTAAAGCGTGTTTCTGGAATATTGTGTTTTTATTGCTGCAAGTGGTTTTTATGCCATGTTTGCAAAGCTATATGTGGAAGGAAACTGTGACCTAGGACAAGCTGATGGCATAAGATGTCAGTACAACTCCTCTGGTTTCATATGCAAAAAAAATTATTGCGCTAGCTTACCTGGTTGCAGTTCTACCGGGATTTAAAAATAGCTACGCAAAACAGAGCGTGCCCGCTCTGACCAGCTTTAAAGGGTTAAAGTCAGACTTCATGATACAACAATAAGAAAGAGATTGGGCAAAAATGGCCTCCACGGGAGAGATCCAAGGAGAAAACCACTGCTGATCAAAAATAACACAAAGGCCCGTCTCATATTTGCCAAAAAACATCTTAATGATCCCCAAGTCTTTTGGGCAAATACTCTGATGAGACAAAAGGTTACATCTGACGTAAAACTAACACAGAATTTCTAACCATCAGTTAATTGCCTGAAGCTCAAGAACACAGCAGGACAATGGTAAACACACCAGCAAGTCAACCTTCGAAAGGCTGAAAAAGACAAACTGAAGGTTTTGGAGCGGCCAAGTTAAAGTTTGGACTTCAATCCAATCGAGACGCTTTAGCATGACCTTAAACCGACCGTTCGTGCTCAAAACCTGTGCAGTGTGACTGAATCAAAAGAATTCCTCCACAGCCATTAGAAAGCCACATAGCCAATTATCACAAATGCTTGACTGCAATTCTTGCTACAAAGGGTGGCACAACCAGTTAATTAGGTTTAGGAGGCAACTACCTTTCCACACAGGGGCAGGTAAGTTTGGATAACTTCTGCCTAATTAAATAAAATCATTAAAAAAAAAATCATTTTCTTGGGTTATGTAACATATAAACATGTAAGTGTGACAAATATGCAAAAAAAAAAAAACCCTAAGAAATCAGAAATACTTTTGTATGTAGATTTTTACTTTATGATTTTATGATTTGTTAATATTCAAAAAGTAATTCAATTACAGTCTTTGAAATATAATCACCCTATCTCAAAAAATACTTACAAACCAACGCATAAACCAAAAAAGAAATGTTTTAAATGTTAAAAAGTATTCACATTTGTACTTAAAAAATGTAAAAATCAATGATGGCAGCAGAATAAGTCACTATGTCAGCCTCTGAGGAGTGTGACTCCTACCTTTGGTGGGTGTCCTGGAGAGGTGGTGGTCGCTTTGTAATAATGGAACACCACCATAATGAGAAGCCAGTGGCCACAACAGAGGTGCCACACAATCCAGTGTGCAGGGTAAGTGCTGACGATCATGGGAAGGACAAACAGGTAGACAATGACCACAACTGAGGATGTCAGCAAGACGACAAGACAGACAAACACCTGGGAGGGTAAGAGAAGGAAAAACGATTAAGGAAAGCAGCAGCAGGCGTGGGAATCAAGAGAGGAGGGAAGTGAGCTTACCACTCCAAACCAGTGGGTCACGTTGTCCACAATCCAATAAACGGGTTCAAAAGCACAGTCCAGCAGAGTGTCTGAGTTGGTGAGGCTGTTGAAGTACAGCGACTTGAGCAGGAGCTTGCTGTAACGCCACACCTCTGACAACCTGCCGCCGATCCCCGCTTTGGTACCCCCGCCTTGGCCCCCCCTCTGCGTGCGGCACAGCCAGCACCAGCGCAGCGCCAGTCGCATGGCTCGGGAGAGCTGCCACCTCCAGCTGCTGCTCACACGCATGCCACCACCGCCACTGCCTCCCCTCCTACACACTCTGCCTTCTAAACACACGCAGACACACAGACACACAGACCAGCAGTTAGAAACACAGGCCGCATAAAACAGCAGCTCCTCGTAACGCAGCCTGACAGATGCGGAGCTTTCCATCGCCACTGAGTGCTTGTTGAGAGCTCCCAGTGTATCTGAGAAGGCAGGCAACAGGAAGACTAGTGAGCTTTATAGAGGAGAAGGGATCCCTTTCCCAGAAAGTGTTCCCTTTCCCTAGAAAACACTGAAGTTACTCAAGTACAGTAACAGCATCTCCTGTGTGACATATGCCCATCAAAGCACACAAGGACAAGGGCTATCAGGTAAGGAGTTACGCCCATCAGCCCCTACAAATAAACTTCTCCTCTTAATAATTGAAGGCAAATCTTCATCTGCAGGCCAAAAACCTATTGGGGACTCTCAGGGGAGATGCAGATTGGTAACCTTATAAGAGGGAAACGCAAACGGACGTCTTAAGGAAAATAAAGTGGCCACCTGATCCTGGAGCATCGGGTCATGAAAGTGAGTATTGGTTACACAGATAAGACTTGTTCAGGTTCTCCAAAACAGGATGGCATTAATAATGAGAGCGCATCTCTCATTATTTACATTTAAAAGAAGATGAAAATAAGACGGGACATCCAGCAACAGGTGACATGTACAGATCTGTCAAGTTTAACATAATCGCATAAGTCAGGGACTACATGTAACATACAGAAACATTAGACAAATTCTTGTTGAGAGGGCCTTTACTTCCTTTACTTCAGCAATAAAGAGAGCGAACACGATTTCTGGTTGTGTGACAAGTTGAACGAGTCTCACCACTGCACAGGAAGGCTGGTGGGCGTCTGAAGGGTGTTTGAAGGGCATAATATTAACGTGCATGGTTGTATCTGACAGACAGAAGGAGATCGTGCCACACAGATGGGGGATTCATGGGAGAAGAAGCAGTCTCTATGGCAACCTGCTGCCCGAAATCTGGACTTAGATAGAATAAGGTCACTACCTCACAGTCTCACTATAATAAGCTTTACTTTGTCCTCTTCCTCTGCACTGTCTTCTGTGAGTCAGAGAGGAGGAGGGGGGATTGTCTGATATTTTTCACTTGTAGTCAGCAGCTTGCTTTTTCATGTTTTTGGATTCTGGATATTGGAAATGTTCAAAGAATATCATTCACCATTTCTGAAACTGATTAATTAAACACAGACACGGAGATAATCTTAAGTATAGCCCTGTCTTCAGTCCCTTTGATAGCAGCTTTAGTGACCGTGATGTGGTTTGCGCATTATTGATCATGCTGCTGGATGAAAGGTTTTTATTTCACGTCTTCAGCTTCAAGTTATAAAACTAATGGAGACTGTGAATCAGAGTCTGACTCTTTGCCACCTTCAGCTTGTCATGAAGTGAGATCACAAGAACACTTTCGTGCTATCATATTATAAAAATCATCATACCAGCGTCTACACTGCGCTGCTGGATGAATGGAAACGGATGGATGTTTCACAGGAAGGTCCGGCTGAGTCAAATGAACACAAGAGGTCTCCACTTGGTCATCACTTTGACATGTAAGCCATACATTGTGCTCAGACCCCACCACAGTTCAAAGTTTATCAAATCACAGTTCTGCTATTGGTTTTAATGTTATTATTATTTTTAAAACAACAACAACAAAACATGTTTCTCACAGTGACTGGTTATGACTGATGAAGTCTACATATAAAAGACAAAACAGTATTACTAATGGCCACAGGACTACAACCAGTTTGACTCGTGTCCATCATATCCAAACAGTCAGACATCTCACACTTTAACGCTAGCTGGCTAGCTGCTAGCTAACCGTAGCCGCTTCCAAACGCCAGCCTTACGTGTTTGTTTTAGTAGAAACTATTTGCCGCCCCGAGCCAAACTTAACATCGCTAGACTGTACCTGGTCAGGAGAACTGGGCAGACAGACCTGCAGTACCACGGTCAGGTCATGGTTCGGCTGAACTGGAACCAACCTGCAGCTACTCCTCTAACTGCAGCAATCAGACTGTAAGCGGCGAGACTCACGAAGAAGATCGTGTATTGACGAGATGAGTTGCTTGACAGCAGCAAAGCTGGCAGCTTGTTCTGTTCTGGCTTCTGGACTGGAGCGCTAGCGAAATATCTGGAAAATATTTGTAAGGAAAAGTGTGCCAGGAGTTAACAGCAACAGTCAGAATTATGGTAAAATCAGTAGCGTTAAACACAAAAAGTCGCTACCCGGTATATTGTTCCAAAGTGGCGCCTCCTGTCTATTTGTTCTCTTCTGTGGCGAAAGTGCGTCGAAAGCTCGCAATATATCCTGGGAAATGAAGTTGTATTTTGCGATAGTTCATTAAAATGCCTCTTAAATCACGCTGTCTTCGTAAAAAATTATAAATGAAACTTAAATACATATTCACAGCGGTATCCATTAAGTGTGGCGGCGATAGATATTTAACTAACCCCTCGACTGTGGAAAAAAACCACCCAAATTAAATTAACTTCCGAGCTGAGGCCTGAGGTGTCATATGATGCAGAAAAATGGCTGCAGTGCAGTGGTAAGATGTTGTCTTCTTATTTTACAAACGGTTCATTAACAACTTAAATCTTTAGTATTTAAACACTGAGCCACGCCTAAGCACACGCGTGTAGTGTAGATACGATTGTCGTGCGTTTAATGTTCAGTTAGCGTCGTAAACTAAATGTCAACTTTTTCAGGCTTGCAACATAACATTAAAGACGAAGAAGCTTTTTATGGTATTATTATGACTGTGACTTTGAATCAGACGCCTTCTTTGGTTACGGTGTAGATTTGGCTTATAACGACATTTTCCCTCCTCGTCTTTTCTGACGATTTATCACTAGTTCTGCATTTGCCTTGGGTCATTATCACTGCTGGCCGCAGATACCTGGACCCTACAGAGATTGTACAGGTAGTCAAACTCCTCCAAGATGGCATATTAATACGTGCCACTGCCACAAGTTTTGGTATGTCTTCTAGCACAGTCTCAAGAGCATGGAGGGGATTTCAGGACACAGGACCGGAGAAGGTCCTTAACCAATCAGCAGGATCACTATCTGCTCTTTTGTGAGGAGCAGGATGAGAACTGTCAGAGCTCCAGCAGGACCCTGGTGTCAATGTCTCTGACCAAACAATCAGAAACAAACTGCATGAAGCTGGCTTGATTGTCCAGCATGGTCTAGTGGGCCCTGTACTCACTGCACAGCACTGTGACATTTACACTGGCATTTCCCATAGAGTACCAGACCTGGCAGGTCCACTGGCACCCTGTGCTTTTCACAGATGAGAGCAGGTTCACCCTGAGCACATGTGACAGGCATGAAAGAGTCTGTAGAAGGTATCGAGAACATGATGCTGCCTGTAATGTTGTTCACTGTGAGTGGTATGGTGGGTGGTGGCTCAGTAATGCTTTTGGGAGACATATACATGGATGGACGTGCACTCTAACTATACAGGCAGTGACACCCTGACTGCCATCAGGTATCAAGATGAAACCTTTGAGCCCTACATTGGTGCAGTGGGTCCCAGATTTCTCCTGGTGCACAACAATGCCCAGCCTCGTGTGTTGAGAGTATGCAGGCAGTTCCTTGAAGATGATACCGATGTCTGGCTTCCACACTTGCCTGACTTAAATTTAGTAGAACACCTCTTGGACTTTGTTTTGGTCCAACTGCCTCTGTCAGGTTGCACCTCAGACTGTCCAGGAGCTCAGTGATGCCCTAGTCCAGATCTCGGAGGAGATCCCCCTGGACACTATCCATCATCTCATCAGGAGCATTCCCCAACATTGTTAGACATACCTACAAGCATGTGGGGGCTATACAAGCTACTGAGTACAGTTTTGAGTTAGTGCAATCAAATTTTGTGTGTTTTGAAGCTTTTAGCCATCTGTAGGTTGATAACGTACCATCCTTTCACTCCTTACCCATTACACAGTCCTTATCAGTGTAGATATCCAACATATTTCTCAGAAATGTAGCAGCCATTCACTTTCCTGTACGTTTATTTCTCCAGATTCTTTTAGACTTTTAATTATGAACCACAGACGATGAAATCAGACATTTCTTTGTAATTTCACACATTCTATGCCTTTCTTTCACAGAGTTGTGTCATAATTAGTTTAGCTTTGTTTGTGTGACTGGGTCATGTTCGTCAGTGCTTTATCAACGATAGCAGGACCAAAAAGCTGTCTTATCTCTTTTGCAACCAGGCGTTCGCATGGCCGCAACTATGACACAGAGCTGCAGAGGTGTCGTCTTGAGGCCGCTCTTGTCGATTTTGGAGACTACCACCCACTCAAACCCATCATGGTATCAGTGTTGAGCTGCATCTCTATTCGCTTTAATTCACTGAAAACATGCAGAAACATTGTTGTGGTTTTTTTAATGGGCCTGTGACAGGTTTGACCCTCTCTCAATCCGTCCAGGTGACCGATACAAAGACCCGCCGTGGGACCCGCAAAGGCAGCACCTCTTCCTCTTCATCCTCCTCTTCCTCAGCACCGCCAGACCCTCTGAGCTCCATGCTGGACGGGACCGACCCCCTGTCCATGTTTGCCGCGGCCTCGGCCAGCGAGACGCCACCCATGTCCCACAGCAGCTCCACAGGAGTCAGTGACTTGGACAAATGTAAATCCTGAAGCATGTGCTCATTTGAAAGTGACGCTAAATAAAGATGTGCTTTCAGGACCTGGGGAGGAGGAAGAGAGAGAAGGAAGAAGAGGCAGTGGGACCAGATTTTGAACCTTGGTCACTGAAGCGAGGGGAAATCCTGGCCAGGTTCACCACCACCGAAAAACTCTCCATAGTGAGTCCTCTATCGTAGCAGCAAGGCTGTTGTTATGCTTACCTCTTACCCAAGGGCCTGCTGTCTCATAATTTAATGCTGCTTGAAAACATAGTGGAAATGAACCTGATGGCTTCACCAATTAACAAAATATTTAAGAGAGTTTAGCACTTTTTTGATGTTCTAAAATTTAATTATAATTTGTTTTTTCTCCATAGAATCTGTTCATAGGCTCTGACAGAGGTAAGAGCAACCTGTTTCTATCACATATAATGATTTCAAAAAATTTCTGAATGCTTTCAATGTCTATAGTTATCTGTAGTATCAATAAATCCTGTGACAGCATCAGAATATATTTATTTTACTACCTAAATCCTTTCAAATTGCTTTTTTCTGTCTATCATAACCATAAATGGCAGCAAAAACAAAATGGGCAAACAAAAAGAATGTCAGCATCACTTATTAAGTTGTTATTTGGTCTTTAACTTCACAACTTATACATCACTTCCTGTTTTCACTAGGAAAAGCCACCAGTCAAGGATCGGCTGTTTCAGAGAAGGTTCGCACTCGTCTGGAGGAGCTGGATGATCTAGAGGAGGTAGGCGTCCCACTGCTGGCTGGCCTTGCATTATTCTTTCAAGAAATACGATGGGGGATGTTATTGGATCTTCTTGCCTGTGTGTGTGTGCAGGGCTCCCAGAGAGAGCTGCTGAACCTCTCGCAACAGGATTACGCCAACCGCATCGAGGAGCTGAACCAGTCCCTAAAGGAGGCCTGGTCCTCTGACCAGAAGGTCAAAGCCCTGAAGATTGTCATCCAGGTAATGTTTATTTCATTGGTGCTCATTTTAACTGGTGTCGCCTTAATAAATATCACCCCTGATCTGTGATCTGTGCTGCAGTGCTCCAAGCTTCTGTCTGACAATTCGGTGATCCAGTTCTACCCCAGCAAATTTGTTCTCATCACTGATATCCTTGACACATTTGGTCAGTAAAGATTTTTTTTCCACAGTTGAACCTGAACAATGTGCAAGTTTTGTGACTCGGGTCCTTGTTGTTTGCAGGCCGGCTGGTGTACGACAGGATCTGGACCATGTGTTCAGACCCACGACCTTTACCAGGTAAAGTGGAAAAGCTGACAATCAACTTAAAGCTTAAAATTCTTCAGAGCATTTAGACGATCCTTGCACCTTCTGAAGTCATGTTGCATTGATTTAGTTTTTGTTAATTCACATTTGACTTTTGTTTGCCACCTCAGATAATTTCACAGTTGAAGATGTGAATGACACCGCAAAGGAGACGTGCCTCAACTGGTTCTACAAGATCGCCTCCATCAGAGAGCTCCTTCCCAGACTGTATCCTTCAACACCCTCACTCAGGATTTCTGTTCATAGTCTGCTTTTGGCTGGAGTTTCATTCACTCACAGACCTGGTTTTAAAATAAAGTTCAATTCAGTTTTATTTACATAGCACCAAATCTCAACAACAGTCACCTCACCTCTCTTTTAGCAGGAAGTAACCTCCAGCAGAACCAGACTCAGGGAGGAGCACCCATCTGCTGTGACCGGTTAGAGGCGTGGGGAGGGAGACAGGCCAAAAACACAAACTTTGAAAGAGAACCAGATATTAATAATAACGATTAAATGCAAAGTGGCTCAGCTATGTATGTTTGTAAGTAATTTGTATGTAAATTTGGTTCTTTAACCTCGTGATACAGCTATGTTGAAGCTGCCATTCTCAAGTGCAACCGGTTCCTCAACAAATCGTGAGTCCTCACAGTTTATCAGCCGGTTTCCACAAGGATTTTTCTTTAGGATACGTAAAGATTTAGCAATAATATTTGGAAAATGTCATTTTAATAGCTGTGATGCATCAACCATGTTTGTAAACTGGAATTAAATCGTTTGACATAAAGAAAACACCATCTGTCCTGCCACTGTCCACAGCGGCATTCAGGAGACCCTTCCTCGGTTGACTGCCATGGTCAGAGGGATTGGAGACCCTCTGGTGGCTGCATATGCCAGAGCTTACCTCTGCAGGGTGAGATGGACTCTGCTCGTCTTTCCTTAATTTCCCTACCTTGCTGATTGTGTTTGTGGGGTGTCCTATTTAGGCTATTGTTGCTACATCTGCAACCCACTGTGACCCCAGCTTCTCTCCTTCATGTTATGACTTATTTCTGTCTCCTGTCGTTTGTCGTTGATGCCTCTTTTTTCTGAGTGAGCATATTGCAACTCCTCCTGTCCAGATCAGTTGCCATAAAAAAATGCTGCAAATGCATGAACAATGCTATTTTTGACTTGCCCTGTTTACCAGCTTTGTAGGTTTTGTTTGTTTGACACCTATATCCTTCTTTCCAGGTGGGCATGGAGGTGGCCCCCCACCTGAAAGACAGCCTGAACCGCAACTTCTTCGACCTGCTCGGCACTTTTCGACAGATCAGCAGCGAGAACGTCCGGGCCCAGCTGGTGCTGCAGAGGGTGGAGATGCCCGAGTACCTGACACTCTACTCACCTGCCATCAGCTGGATCCTGCAGTGTATCGCGTACAGAGCTCCAGAGGTATTTACTTAGACTTTATTGAAAAAGTGGAGCTCGGTGAGAGCGTCGCAGGGGCACAACCTCAGTGATGTTTCTGCTTTTAATGCTGCTTGTGTTTCTGTTTCAGTCTCTGCTAACAGAGATGATGGAGAGATGCAAAAAACTGGGAAACAAGTGAGTGCTTTAAAATTATTAGTAGCTGTTTCTTGTCATGTGATTTACCTGGAAGTGTCACGATCCTTTTATTTCATAGAAATGACCGTTATTAGCATGGGTTTAGCTAAAGTTGTCACAGAATGTATGGCACAGCACTAGTTCATCTTTGCTTTCCCACAGTGCTTTGCTTTTGAATTCAGTAATGAGGGCGTTCAGGCCAGAGTTTGTTGCAGCCAGAGCCACAGACTTCATCGGTATGATCAAAGACTGCGACGAGGCCGGCTTCCCAAAGGTCAGAGAACGTTTCATGTTCACTGCATCTTTTTTCTTACCTTGGTTAAAAACAAAGAAGTCATCTTCTGTTTATTGGATGTGGGGAAATAAGTACAAGATAAAAAATACTTATGAAAAACAACTTGGCAGTAACACAATTAAAATATCCCAGAGCAAAACAGCTTGGAAAGGGAAAACAATTACACCACAAAAATCATCTCAGAGCTCAGTGAATTAAAGTCTAAATATGGACACAATAAGGAGCTCAAAGCTAAAATGAATGCAGGTAGTGTTGGTATGAGGTCAGTGGAAATGAAACTGATGTGCTCAGCTGTATGTGCAGGAAGTGATGCAGAAGGTCTACAGCCACAGTTACATGGCCTCTGCATCAGCTAATGGAGGAATCCAGACAGTGTGTTGATTCCAGCTGGATTCAAACAGCAACACTGATGACAAATTCTCTCCACTCCTTTCCCATGATGATGGCTGGATCAGATCCAGATATGAAACCTCTTTGTTTCCTCTACAGCTCCTGCAGGATTATAGTCAACACAATCAACTGGTGAAAATTCCTTACTGCCAATAATTTAATGGGAAGGTTTATAAAAGCTGAAGAAAAAGTAGTCATTACACCTTCACATAATTCACAACGAGTATGAAAAATCAATCTCATTGGGTAATAAAGTCATTAAAATATATAAAGGATAGAGGCAGATGTTCAGGTCATTGTCTAAATCTTTTTGGAATGAATTTTGCCTCCTTTTCAGCATCTGTTGTTTGGCTCTCTGGGTCGCAGCCTGGCGTCTGCCGATCCTCCAGAATCCGAGAGGCTGACCATCCTGAATGAAGCCTGGAAAGTCATCACCAAAGTCCGCAGTCCTCAGGTTCTGTACCGCTGACAGTAGTTTTCAAAAGGTCCCGTTATTCCTGCCAGAATGTTCCAGATCGTTACTGAAAATCTCATTTTGGTTTGCAGGACTACATCAACTGTGCTGAAATCTGGGTGGAGTTTACCTGCAGACACTTTACAGTGAGTAGAAAGCAGTCAAACACAAATTTTATTTATTTATGTTTTGGAAATGCACTACCTTTCTTAATCCTCTCGCTGCGTGACTGTCAGAAACGGGAGGTCAACACGATTTTGGCTGACATCATCAAACACATGACCCCTGACCGAGCATTCGAGGACGCCTACCCTCAGGTTGGTGCACGATGCTTCCCTGAATCTCGGCTACTCTCCACCCTCCTCTTTCCTTCTGCTCTGTACTAACTGTCTCGTGTCTGTTCTGCGTGTAGCTGCAGTCGGTGATCAGGAAGATCCTCACCTACTTCCACGACTTCTCTGTCCTCTTCTCCATGGTGAGCTTCTACAGCTTGAGCTGCAACGATGAAACTGTGATTCCAGTGCCATAAGTCGAGCTACATTTTCAGTTTTTGCTCTTTTCGGTTCTTCAGGAGCGATTCCTGCCATTCCTGGACATGTTCCAGAAGGACAGCGTGAGGGTGGAGGTCTGCAAATCCATCATGGAGGTCTTCATCAAGTAAGAGTTCAAGTCATGAGATTATTGAGAGTTGTGGCAGAAACGTTGATATTTCGTATTGATGTTCTACTCTGTTCTCTGGCCTTTAGACACCAGGTGGAGCTCACCAGAGACCCGGTGATCCTCAACGCCATGCTGCACATCTGCAAGACCATGCACGACTCTGTCAAGTAGGGTATTCGTTTGTGTGTGTTATACAGACGTATGCTACTTTCATATCTGTGACTTAAAGTCGTCGTTTCAGCTGTGTTCGTGCGGTAACGCATTTATTTTTCTCTTCGTCTTGAAGTGCTCTTACTCTCGAAGACGAGAAAAGATCTTTGGCTCTGCTGATCATCGGCTTCATCCGCATGGTGAGATTATCACATCTATTATATTATGTCAACAACAATCACAACTGCTGTTTCGGCCTCTTGTATTGCATTGTTTTGATCTGCATCTGTTGTTTTTGTTTCAATTTTGGGGTTAAAATTTTTTTCTCTGCACTTCAGGTTTCCTTTAGTCGTGACTTTGAGCAGCAGTTGAGTTTCTGTGTGGAGGCTAGAGCCACCTTCTGTAACCTGGAGCCTGTCCTGGTGCAACTCATTCATGTAAGCCTGTGTTTGGCATTTCAGCATTAAGTGACAGAAGCCACAACGCCATCTCCTTCATGTAACCTTGTCGTTTACAGACGGTGAACCAGCTGGCCATGGAGACCAGGAGGGTGATGAGAGGGAATCACTCCCGCAAGACAGCTGCTTTCGTCAGAGTGAGTCCACACATGCAGTCTCTAATCTTTTCACATCACCGTACGTTCCTGTTGGATGACTTTTTAGCAATGCCAAAGGAAAAGTCAAAAAACCACAGACTGTATATAAAAGACAGTCAACATTAGCATTTTGGCTAATGCTAATTTATCACCTAATGCTAGCAAGCTTTTTTTATAGGCCTGTCTTACAGAAATAACACTGCATGAAATTTTCCTCTCCCTCTCTCTTTTAGGCATGTGCCGCCTACAGTTTCATCACCATCCCGTCTCTCAGCAGCATCTTCAGTCGACTCAGCCTCTACCTGTTGTCCGGTCAGGTTGCTTTGGCCAATCAGTGTCTGTCCCAGGGTGAGTAGGTGTCTCATTCGAGATTTAAGTTTAAGATTTAGTTGATCAAAACTTGTGTCCCTAATGTTTTTACTGTATTGCGATCATTTCTGTTTCTCTTGTCCTTCCCACGCCTTTTCTGACTCGTTCTCCACCTTCCTTCTTCCAGCCGATGCTTTCCTAAAGGCAGCCGTAAGCATTCTTCCGGAGGTTCCTCGCTCCATCAGCGTGGAGGGAAAACTTCGCTCTTCTGAAAGCTTCCTCATGGACTTTATCAACAGCTTCTTGGCAACGCTGCTGGTTATCCCGGTAAGGTTCATTACGGTTCAGAGGTGGGTTTACAGGAGACGGACCACACCTGTAATCGCCCATTTTTGTCTCAGTTCAGCTTGACAAATGTTTTGATTTTTGTTGTTGTTGTCTTTTAACAGGACCATCCAGAGCATGGGGTGCTCTACTTAGTCCGGGGTCTGCTCAACATGGTCCAGGATTATACCTGGGAAGACAACAGCGATGCAAAGGTGCGGGTTTACATCAGTGCTCTGCCCCTGCTGGCAGCCATGAGCCAGGAAACCTATCTGTACTCTATCCCCAAAGGTAACGGCACACACGTAAACACTGAATTGACATCAGAGAGCTCTAACAAAGACAGACTTTTACAGATTTTCCCCAGGCTAATTTCTGTAAGCCCTAAAAGTTAAGAGTTTCACGCGTTGAGCTTTTACTTGTGACGTTTCCTGTTCTTGTCACATGTACAGTTGAGGACAGTGCTGTTTTCAACAAGTCTCTCACACGTCTCCAGAGGGATTCCAGTCCATTATTTTTTTTAAAGGAATCTCTCAAGCTCTTCTTTATCTCTCTATTGCCAAGAAAGCTATATTTTGAAATTGGAAATCCAAAAGATCACTACTCCTGAACCACTGGATCAGTCTTATTACAGAATACGTGACTTTAGAGAGAATAATGTATTACCACAGAAATAATATATCTTCATTTAATGACATCTGCTACATGCTTCTGACTTATCTCGGTTTGGATCAGACGCCAGGGGCTGAAACCAAGCACATCTCCACAAACACACAAACTTACAACTTACTGTTGTGTATCGTAACTGATCGTCCTCAATCTTATTAAGATTTTTTATTAACATGGTTATTAGATATTAGATACGTGTGTGTGTGTGTGTGTGTATAGATAGATATATAATTTATTTTATTTATATATAGAGATATATATAATTTATTTAATATTATGTATTAGCTAATGTATTACTATTACATATTACAATGTTTTAGATAGACATGTAAATACCCCACAAATAAAAAGCAGTAGTAGTATAGTATAAACATACTAGTAGTATGTTTAGAAATGCTAAGGAAATGAAAAAATTAAAGTCCCTTGTTCTGCAAATTCCACAGGGGGGTAATAATAATTCTGTCTTCATCTGTAGTAAGACAGTGAGGAGTTTTCCCCGTTAATCTAATTATTCTGTTTCCTGGCTCAGTGGATTCTAATGACACGCTCTATGGCGGAGATCCCAAATTCCTATCAGAGATCAACAAGCTGTGTGAGACTCTGATTGGACAGATCCTCGACCACCTGAAGACACTCGGTCGTGATGAGGTGAGGATGCGGTGCTTAGATGTGTCTAAATTCAAAAACAAAACGCAACTGCTTCCATGGCTGAAGGAATTATTTTAAAGAAAAATAATCTGGCTTTAGTGAAAATCCAGATTTCAAGCTTGCCAAAATCTGGATGCTGTGTAACCAAAGTTATCCTGCCTTCATGTACATGTGGGAATGAAAACCAAAAACTGGAAAACCACGCTGACATGCATTTCCCACTCTCTTGCAGCAGAGCACACGCCGCCAGGGCGCTCTGGCCTTCTCCCTGTTTGGTGTCCTGCTGGCTCACGGTGATCTGAGGAACAACAAGCTGAGCCAGCTGGCAGTCAACCTTTGGAACCTCAGCCACAAACATGGATGCTGCGAGACCCGCACCTCCGTGAGTTCATGTTTCAGAGCTCCGAGGCCCACTCTGTACACTTTAAATCTGCTGTATTTCTGAATGCAGCCTCACTGACTTCTCATCTTTGTCTGCTGCAGGTTCGGACTCTGGAGTTCATCAAACATCAGACTCAGCAGCCGGACATGACTCATCTGTCAGATATGGTCCAGAGGCTCACGCTGCAGTCTCGCACCTGAGCTCCACACTCAATGACGTGTTACACTGCTCAATTTAAATTTGTGTAAATAAAACCTAACAAAGGAATTTTATATGCCTGTTTTCTGTGTCTTGTGTAGACTTTTATATAGTCTGAGTACTTGAATCAGATCACCTTGACACCTTTAGTGTGTTGACTGTCCAAGACTGCAAGACGGTGGCCTCCAGCTGAGTGATTTATTCTGCAAATGACACAAACAGCCTCCCACCAAACTAAAATAGGCCCTGCTAGGGGAGAAAGGACCCCACATACTTTTATCAGGAGCTGAACCACCACCTTTAAACCTCTGATAAGCTGCAGCCTCACAGCCCAAGTTAATGACACAAGTTTAAATGGTTTCACAGAGAAACTCCCCTCTGTCTCACTGGTGCTAGCTGTTGTTACCAGCTTAGAATTTTTGTAGTTCCCAGTGCTTGCAAATAAATAACAACAAGGAAGCCGTTTCACATTCTCACACTCTTCTCAGTTGTAGTTTATTTTCTTATTTAGTGACAGCTGAAAAGTCAAACACTTCGCTTTAGCTCTCAAAGGACAAAATGATCAGAAACAGCAGCAAACAGTCGTGATGACGCTCACCGACACACACTGCAGGCCTTTGGTCGCACACTTCTTCCTGGTAACAACAGGACACATCTGACTAAACTGACTTTCAGGTTAAGAAAACAAAATTATTTTTTTCCCCTTTGCTTACAAAACTCAAAGGATGCTGTGAAAAATTAACACTGAGTAAAAATGTAACTGACAACACGGTAACACGTGCTTGGATGTACTCGCCTGAAAGTCATTTTGGCCTGAATTTCCCTTTTGGAAGGTGGACCCGGATCTGTGGGGTAACAGAAGCCAGCAGGATGAACCTAGTTCTGAATGTTTCATGACTAACAACAGCCGTTTAAATAGGAGGATTTCTGACGACAACTGCAGAAAGAAATGGTCTCTCTCCAACACGAGATAAACACTGACGACACGGAGCGTCTACACTATTCAGTCTGTCCCTCTGCAGCTGCCCGATTCTGTGGGGAATGTCAGTAATGATGTGTTTCAATAAATTATTCTGACTGCTATTTATTAGCATACCTACTGTCTTCATTTTATTTAATATACTTAAATGCAAAAAACACAAAAACTGAAGTTCCCCAGAAATTAATGTATTGAATTATCAGACCATTTAATGTTTGTTTCTTTAATGTATTTCATTGGTTATTTGCTGTTCTTTTTATTTTATTATTAATATTGGCCTTTTAGGACTTCCACAGCCCAACACGTAACTACATAAAAGTAAACTAGAACAGCCCTCAGAGAGCAGAGACGCTTTATTTTTTTGCAGTTTTAAAAAAAGCGACAGAGATGTGGATTAAAATCTGTTTCTTTGCTGATGGGAAGAAAAATGTTTAACCAAATAAAGATTACTTTACACTGGAAGACCTGTAGACATTCCAAGTTTTCTGCCATTTATTGAAGGAAAAGTGTTGCACACCTTTTTCAAATAATCAGGGCTGAAAAAGGTGTTTTCAGATAACATGGAGCACAACTGGGACTTCGAAAAACAGACTGACAAGACCTGAAGTTATCACAAGTCACAATGAGAAGTTCTCGATGTGAGCAAAAGACAAGAACGCTGTGCTCTCCGAGGGCCGATGACTTTAACACTGATAAGCAGCAGCTACTGAATGAATCATGCTTCTTATTTCGCACCGGCTGAACTGATGTTTCACCGCCTCCAAGAAAAACCTGGTTTGGACCTAAAACAGAGACGCGAGAACGAGAGTGAAGCAGCTGGTTTAAATATTAGCAATTTACAACATGCGATGCAAGTTTAAGTCTAACAAACGTTCGTTTCACAGTGTCCGATTTCACTCCTTTCATAAAAAAAGGTCACTTTTGCAGCTGTGTAAGTGCTTTAAAATTTGATGTCTTGCAGTTGGAACAAAAAGTCAAATCCGAGGGTTTTTTTATTCTCTTTTTTTGGGCGGGGCAGAATTCATCTTGGAGATTTAAAGCAACTCAGCAGCAGTTCAGCCAGCATAGGGCAAAAAGTTGAACCACACAACAACGGAGCCGTTTGATACAGACAGCTGTGTGTTTGCAGTAGTGTTACACAACAGAAATGACACTGCAGAATGGTTTGTTTGGTGGATGTTTAAGGTGCAACGTGACCTCTGATAATAACTTCAGAGTTCTGATGGGTTTTTTTTTTGTGGTTTTTTTTTAAATGTCCATTAAACCGCAGATGAGATGCTGAAACCTGACCTCAACTAAAAAGCATAATTTAATATCCTACTGAGAGAAGAAGATGAAGAAGAAACCTGTAACGGAATAAGTTGAAAAACGCCAACAGCAGCTATACCGTGGCAAGTTGGAGACTTGCTGTGAGTCAACTAAACCCTCTTATCTGCGACATTATGTCATGGAGACAGACTTGTGATGCTGTCCTCTCCACTGAGACTCCAACTACCTCCTAGGAGCAGGTTTTCACAAGCAGAGAGGACAGTTGTGATGTCTTGTTTAAAAATCTTACACCCTTAAAGAACAAAAATGATTAAAATAATTGTATATAACAGTTCAACACAAAAACAGGTTGCAGTTTGGCGTTGTCAGTCCAGGCAGTGCTGACGGGGGTGTTTTTTTGTATTTGTTTGTTTTGCCGGTCCAATAGTTTTTCTTTCTTGCTTTTTTTTGACTGGATGATTTGAGAGATGATGTTTCTGTTAAACAGCACACCTCTGAAATCACAGACCACCACCGTGCCCTGACCCCGCGGTGGACCTGAAGGAAGGAGGCTGGGTGGTCTTATTCATTATTTTTCGTGTGTTTGTTCTTGATTCCCTCGTCCCAGGCTGCGTGCTCAGTCTAATTCTATGGGGCTGTCCTCTGGAGGTTCTTCAGTTCCGTCATCCTCCTCACCCGAACCCATCAGGCTGTTCAGCAGATTGCCTGCAAGGTGCAAAACAGCAATCATCATGCTTTCAAAGGCTGCTGCAAAGCCAACTGAGGTGAAATAGGGCTGAGCGATATATCGGGATATGAGATTTTGGTCATAAGACATCTATCGTCCCGATAACAATATAAATCACAGAAATTTAACATTTTCTGTAAATTCTGTGAATCGCGGGCAGCTCGACTTGTGTAAAGTGTTTCCAGCTGGGTGTCGTGTAGCTGGAGTCGAGTGTTTTAACTGATGCATCAAACAATACATTTTTAGACATAAGTTGTAACGGCCGCTGTTTCTTTGTGAGTATTTATCACACGGCGTGCTGCGGGGAAAAGCCTGTTCTAACGTTTGAGTCTAAGATTGATTTTTTTAGCACCTGACGGCTCTTTTTGCTTCTCATCCGTAAGTACTCTGCATACTTTTACGTCACTCAGTTTATTTTGAAAAGTCTCAACAGAATCTTGAGCTTTATTGTGAAAGGTTTATGTGGAAACAAGCGGACACGCAATGGTTTTACTGTCATTGTTGCTAACAACAACGCAATAAAAACAGGCGCTTGTCCCTCCATAGTGTGGTTATATTAAATATAAGAGAAAGAGAGAACTTTAAGAAATTAATATAGCCACTACAGTAACCATCAGAACGATGAAAAAATATTGCCGTAAACAGTTTATTTTGCGACACCACGAAACAAACGATAGCGCAAAATGAAACGATGTTTTTATATCATCATCCGATATATATCGTTATATCGAACAGCCCTAAGGTGAAATATATCTTTATTTTACTGACAAGGAACACAAAAAACAAACAACTGCAGGAAAACATTTAAACTTTAATAATTTAAAAGATTTGGATTAAACATTTCCAGCGGTAAGCTAAGCCATCCATCACGGTCTCCATTTCTGCTCTTTCGTATTTGGCCACAAGCCTCCTTCTGTCAGAGCATCTGCCACCTTATTAGTCTCCTACTTCAAATTCCAACAGAGACGTAAAAAAGAGAAATAGAAATCTCAAATAGAAACGGATAGGGTTAATATCCAGCTTTTTAAACTGTTTTTGGTGGTCTGGTGACACAAAGTGTTTATGTCCATGTGGCCACTGAAACTACAGTGATGATATTCCCCTCATTTTTTTTTTTTTACATATAAGTTCCTGGGGGTTAAAACCAGGTCAGACAGCCTACATTCTACATGGGTAAGAGTCACGACTACAAACAGTTCCTTTAATTAAGCTGCCTGTTATTTTACATCTTGTCTAATAGCTTTTGAAGCACCTTCATAAATGATGCAGAGGCTTCAGGTAGTTTCTTGGTAGCATCGCATTCAAAAGTAGCTGGTGATGAAAAACATCGCTATCAGTTTTTCTCTTCATCTTGCTGGTAAGTCTATTAACGTGTGTGTGTGTATATACACATCAGTTGTGTTTGCCAACTCACCTAGTAGTCCGCCATACGATGGGGACTGTTTGGGTGGAACGCCAAAGAAAAGCTGTCCTATTCTGTCGAGATACTGAGGAGTCACAAAAATGTCAAGAGAGAGAGGAAGAGAGGATTACACCTGAGTAGAGTCTGTGTTTACAGGCAGTTTAACCCCATGATGCGACTTCAATGACAGACTTTCTCCAACATCTTTAACCAAATGAATTCAAAGGTTAAGTTAGCCTAGTGCACATGGTGTAGTCATTTGTTACATACATTCTGGGCAAAGACAAACAGTATGAAGCTGCAGCTCAACACTCACCTCATTATACATGGGATCCCTCTTCAGGGAAGGCTGATATTGCTCACATAACACTGTGAAAACTGTTAATTTACCCCTAAAGAAAACAAACAAAAAGCATCTAAATGATGAAAACAATTCACTGACATTTTTAAGCTTACTTCTGTCAGGCATGATAAGCAAACTCAACAATCCCAACATCTGTCCTCACCCGTCCACTGCCAGCAGCAGAAACCAGATAAAGTTTAGTAGAGGCTGCACGAAAGGAGGGCCCCTCTCTATGGACGGGTGTTTCTCTGTGTACGTGCTGAACACCACGGAAGCGCTGTTTTTGTTCTTTAAGCAGAGGAACCTGGAGGGTTTGAGAGTTGAGAGAAGAAAGGGAGAGTTATGGAGATGGCA